AATATGAAAATGGATTTTCTGTCAGTTGTAGTCATGAGATAAACTTACTGAGAAACAGCAAGTCTTCAGAGATGACCTTTTCTTAATAGAACTGAATCCAAATACTTTTTGTGATTGAAGAAAAGTTGTGCAAGTTATGCAGGTAGAAACAATTATATTTAGAGTGTTAATGTAAAGATATTAAGCTCAATATTTCAAAGCGGTGTTTTGCTGTCAGTAAGATCAGAAGGGGTGTAGAGAGGCAGATGAATGTAGCAGGAATCTCTCGTGTACCATGGATCCCTTGGCTTTGAGCCCTTCTCAGACTGCAGCCACCTGCAAAACCTGCCTGCAGGTACGAATGTTGCACTCCAGTGCTGATTTTCCTCCTGCTTCCCATCCTCAGTCTTGATCCAAAACAGATCTGGTGATTAAAACTGCTGCTGGGCTCTTCTAGCAGAAGTCAGAGCAGGTGGGAAGTGCTACAGAATTAGAATGTGACAAAAAGCTTTAGGGTGAAAAATGTATTTCTGGTAACAAAGCCACACCACGATTGCAACAGGTTTTTTTTTCCTTTGTAAAAAAACAATTTTTTTTTTCTTTGTAAATATTCAGTTACTTTTGGTTTTTGATGTTTCGTTTGTTTGGGGATTTGCTTTGTTTTTCCCTTAACAATTAAACAGAAAAATTAATTAGGGTTGCTTTCAATGTGCAGATACAAGGCTCTCTATTTCTAGTCATTATTTTGTTGCCAAACCACTTTATTGCTTTCCTCACGTGTTCCACTGCAACCCACGGTATGATTCTTTCCTTTCAGCAGCTGGAGAGCCATCTAGCCAAGAATGTTTTAAAGAATGTTTTACTAATGTCTCTCTTTATAGAGACATTAGTAAAACAAGTGTTACAGGAGCTGGGTTATAATAGTGTGTTTTAAAGGCTCAAAACTTTATACCTGAGAGTGACAGTGCACTTTGCAAGTACATCACAGAGTTGATCATGTTTTTAAATACAGCATCATTACAAAAATGGGTTTAAATTTTTTTCCTTATCTGCCTCTTAAGAGCAATCCTCTGCACACTATGGTTCATTTACAACTAAATACTGTTGAAAATTACTGTCATGATCTTCACCAGTAACACTGATAGAATGGTTTCCTGCAATCTCCCCTCTTGGTACAACCACAAAGAAATCCTCTTAATAGCTTTCTCAGTTATTAATTACTTTGCTTTATACAGTTCTACTACAGCACATTTTTTTCTCTTCTAACAAAACAGCATTACAAGCTTCTTACACAAGGCTATATTAATAAACTTTAGTCTTTCATTACTTAAAATATTTTCTTTTGCTTGTCTAAGGCACCTTTTTTATTTGTTTTAAACATTATTACTTCAATGCTGCAAAAGATCTGATCCATTCCAAGGACGTAACTTGAATCTGGCAGTAAGTGCTGTTTCTTGATTTATTAAGTCTTGTCTGCTCCAAGGCCTTGAATCAAAGCCTTTATCTATGTCTACATTTGTGTGCACTATTTTGGGATCAGCAGACAACTGCACAAGACCCCATGATTTTTCTGTAAGATTTGAGAATTCTCTGTATTTCATTTCCTACATCTCTTTCTTGGATGAGAAAAGCTTCCTTGATGGTTCTGTCCATCATCTGTCTCACACACTGAAATGTACAAGGCACTACTACTAATATCACCACCACCACAACAATCAGTACATATAAACCTATCTTGCAAAGCTCCCTTAACCGAGCTTTGCTAAAGCTCCATCCCTCAAATCATCTAACTATGATCCATCATCTCTTTTGATTTGAGATGTCAAATCCTTCAACTTCTGTATGCTTTTGTGGATGGATTTGGAGTGGTCAGACAGATTCATACAACACAATCCTTCAAATTCTTCACGACCGTGTCCTTGTGCCAGTAAAGGAAAATCAATTGCTGCTCTATTTTGAAGGGTGGTGTGTCTATCACTGCTGATGTCTGTCGCCATATCACTGATTGCAGTGGATGTGGCATTGGTTTGTTTACTCAGCCAACACTTGACTGGATCTAATTGTTTCAAGACCAGAGCTGAAGCAAGTTGGAGTAAAAACAAATCAGCTGAAACCCTTTTTGTAGCTTTCCAGGGCATAAAATTACTCTTACAATTTTCTTCATATTGATAGGCAAATCTTTTTCCCCTATGTTTCTTCTTAACAACTGCTTTAGCAGTAGGTGCTGTCACAGTGACCTTTCCAATGCTGCATGGACCACCTTCAAGGTGTGAGGGAATATCCTACCAATATCCTTTTGGTAATTGTCATGGATATTGGTCAACCCTAGAATGTCCATCCCAGCTATTTGAATAATTACACCAAAAACTCGAGTTTCTGTATGCAAGGTAATGGGGAGTAACGTTGTACTTCGGAGGATCACTTTTTCACCAGCTGAAAACGTAAGGCAGAAATCCATTGTTAAAGAACCAAGGATCTCTGTTTCTTGGGGTTCAGATACTGCTTTGCAAAGTTCTTTGGTCCAAATGTTGCAGTCATTCACAGAATTGCTTCCTTCCTTCCTGGTTTGCCTTTTGGTCGAAGGATCATTATATATATATATATAGGTATTGACCAATCTTTTACCAGCACACTGACTGGACAGGTTGAAAAAGGCTTTTCTGGGTTCGAATTAGACAGGCATATGGTGTCTGAGCCTGCAGCCTTGGCTAAGGAAACCCAAACATTTGTTCTTGGTTGTCCCACAGGCAAATCCTCACTGCATGAAGCACACAAGAGTAGCAGGAGCCAGTGTACCACTCAATTTTGCTCCATACCGTTCATGAGTTATTTTTTGGCAAAAGACTTCTCCACGTATTTCAACTACCAAATTTGTTCAGGGGCTAGCCAACTGTAACAAAAAAAGGTAATCTTACCTTTACAAATTCAGTTCAAACCAAGTTTTTGCCAAAAGTGCTCTATGAAACTAACAATTTCCACACTTTTTCCATTAACATAAAAATCCAGATTTGTAGGTTTGATGTCAAACTGAGACCGACACTGATTAACATAAAGCTTTCCTTTTCTTTCTTCCTCTTGCCTTTCGAGGGCAAACACTGGGTGGTTTAGCTTTTCTTGTCACCTCAGAACAGTTGTTTTTTTTTTAAATGTGGCAGGGCTTCCCAGTCTGAAAACCAAGACTTTTGGTAAAATCAGGCTGGAGGGCTGCAAGAGTTTTCTTAAGGGTTTTTGTTTGTGTTTCCAGGGGTTTTTGGAGTTTATCTCCCTGGGAATCTTGGGATTTTGCAAGCTGCTCTCTTAAAGTACTACTTTGGACTTCAGCAGTACGCTGTGGTGTTAAGTTTGTTACAAGCGGAAAGCATTTGCAGGACAGTTGGTGGCTATTTAGGTAAAGCTAAGATAACTCCCTTGCACTCCTCGTTAGCATTAGAAAAGGCAAAGCTTTTAATAATACAGGGGTGAGCTTGCTCATCTGGACACTGCCTTTCAACAGCCTGTGTCAATCGGGACGAAGGAAGACTGGGACGCAGAGGTGAGATGGACACGATTTTGTTCTTAGGCTTCACATGGGAAGAAGCGTCACCAAAGGGGACGGGGGGCTCCGCAAGCGAAGGAGAGGAGGGGGCGAGCGACCGCCAGGGCGGGGATGTGGCGGCCAGGCTGGGTTTGCTGAGGGGCG